CTTCAATAGAATACCCGTCCCATACTTCAGATGCGTACTCGAAATGTGGTCTTATGAATACAGTATATATGCTTGACAATGTTGTTCTATGCAGGAGAAACTTTAACTTTCGAAATGCTCCAATCATTTTAGAAGTCTTTTTAACAATACTTTCAATATGATGGTGCCAACCCCCATTACATGAAAATGTTAGTCCCAAATGTTTATGAAAGTCAACTGGTTATACATGACAATTGTCAAATTTCAAATTAATGTCTGTTTGGCCATCTTTTGTCGTAAATAGCATAGCTTCCGTTTTGTCCGGATTATAAGAAATTAGCCAGTCCTTTGCCCAATTACATAATATTTGTAGATTTTCATTCATTATTCTTTCCATCAACTGCTTTTCTTTTGACAAAGTTCCCAGTGACGTGTCGTCAGCGAAAAGCCGAGTTATACAATGTAGTTTATCTGCTATCTCATTTACATACACAATGAAAAGAAAGGTACCTAAAACTGATCCCTTCGAACTCCTGCTTTTAAAACCAAAGGCTTAGATAACGAGCCATGAACAGAAACTGATTGATTGCGACCACTTACATAACTATCAAACCAATCAAGTAACTTTCCATTTACTCCGTACCTCTCCAATTTAAGCATAAGCCCTCTGTGCCAAACTCTATCAAAGGCCTTAGATACATCGCAAAAGACCATACAATAGTGTTCTTTGTTATCGAGTGATATACATATTTGGTTATAAATTTCAACAAGTTGTTGTACAGTAGAGTGGCCTCTCCGGAATCCACATTGATATTTATATAACAAATCATTTGACACGAAGTAATTGTAAATATGTTTAAATACAACTCTTTCAAACAGCTTTCCAACACAACTTATAAATGAAATAGGGCGATAATTGACAGGTGCACCTTTCGGTAACAGTCCAAGGTCAAAACATCACTTTCAGATGTTGCATTCAAATGTCATGACCTGTAGTCCAGCAAGGCGTCTTATTTAACACAGAGTTTAGATAATGTGCAAGAAGGAAATGAATGAAGAAAGAATATATTCGTATCATGGTCCAGGAGAACCGCTCCGCATGTCCCAAAATGGCTGTCTAAAACAGAAGTGTGGACATCTTGTTGCCAAACGTGTCAGAGCTTAACTGTGTCACCCACACTCAAACAACGCAACTTGTCAGAGCTTAATTTGTGTCATCCACACTCAAGCAACGCATCGCATCAGAGCGATTTTGTGTTACCAACACCCAAATTTGTCAACGTATCAACGTAACGTTTTCTTTTTCTCACCTACACTCAAGCAACGCAACATATCAGAGCGGTTTTATAACCGAACTTCAGAGTGCGTTTTTGTTACCCTAACACAAGAAAACCAGCATCGATGTATTTCTTAAAATTCGAAATTGAAGTGAAGTTGTTTGATGTTTATATTTCATATTTGGGGAATGTTATTCACAGAAGAACAGCTGAAATTGATAAGGCAAAATATTCGTCAATGAACGTATCTCTATCGGAGAAGACAAATGACATTTACACTCAATCTGTTTGTTGAAATTACAAAGGAACAAAGGATGTAAACTGGAAACCAAGAAGTGTAAATTGAATCTTCGCAAGAATTGTGTTCTGCACTAAGGTATATGCTGTTTGATATAATTCCAAAGTCATACAGCGTAACGGCATGTATATAACATTAAAATGTACAGTTATCCTTGCAGCTTCAAACACATGACTGAGGGACTGCGATATATTAGCTCGTGGAGATTCAATGTTGTGTTAACAAGGGTATTTTTCACCTATAGAAGAAAACTTTTGTTGCGAGCAGCGTCAGTGTGTGGTTTTAAAATAGCACCACGATTGTTTCACTGCCGAGGCACTTCTAAGCGAGGCTTCAGTGAGAGTCCTCCACTAAAAATAACTCCATCACAAGGATCTCGTGATAACGAGGTTTCACGGTCAGTGTCTGCAGTTATGTCATGCGCAAGATTGACTTCGTATGTATTTATTGTACATGGACATAAAGATACATCACATAATTGTACACTTTTACAAAGGTTTATCGGTTTCAGTACATTACAATAATGTTTTAAATCACATGACTTAAATGAAGCATAGTGACTGCACTGGCGAGTGTAGATGTTACTTTGTTACAATGTCCTTCATCTACCTGATAAATCACACTATTTAACTATTTCAATGTTCACTTTCAACATAGGTCGGTTATTCTCACTATCATACAGATCTTGTCGTTTGTCTCATCCAATTGACTTCAAAAGAGTGTCATCTGTATCTGAATTTTGTAAATATCGTTAATACCGGACAAAAGAAAGCATACACGTGTAAACTTGATTTGGCCAAAAAAGACTACCAACATAATCACATTTTTATGGGCCGAAACAGTCGTCAAAGTACTTGACACTTAAGGTCTCAAACACATCTGTGAATTATGTATCAAATACAGACCCGTAGAATTTCATTTGTTTATGTTTTCATTTTAGACGTAAAATAACATGTGTGTATACTTTCCTCTGCCCGGTAGTTTACAAGAATCATTTATCTCCGAGGTACCATATGACTCGATCGATATTCAACAGCATATCTTCTTATCCAGATCTTTCAAAGGGTTCTCCTGCCATTAGCGCAACGATTTGTCATAATTCCACTGCACACCTCTGTCGTGATGTGGGTTTTTACTTTTACCCACCTGACGCTTATACAAATTTATATCACCTTCTCTGGCGTGCTCTTGTAGACGACCCTGATTGCCTGGGCCAGTGATTAAACCTAACTGAAACCTAATTGTGAAACTACGTGCCTCAGCCGTTTGGTGGTCTACTGGACATACGTTCTGAACTTCGATCCTCCAGTTCCTGATCCTTGACATGTCATCACATATATGATCACTTGATTAATACAAGGGGTAAGTGTTTGCGAACAAGGTCATTTATTGTGTTTTCTTTTATTCGTTGACATTAATTCCCTCCATATAACTGCAACACTAGTTTAGATGGCGTTAAAACCAACTACATCACTCTCACTGATGGACGTGTCACATTTTACAGGCAAATTGTTATACAAAGATGCGTTCCTTTGATCAATTTGAAACCTCAACAGGCATCTTGAATTGGGTTTTATGTGTTTGTGTGAGTTTGGTTTTACGCCGCTTTTAGCAATGTTCAAGCAATTTGAATTGGGTTGATTACGACACTTAAGTCATAGGTTAACAAACATTAGCACGCTTTCAGCAAGACAGCCAACCATCTCAGAGGTTAATAAATCTAAAGACCGAAAAATGTTTTGATGCATGCATCGCAAAGATTCTACAAAGGGTCAGTGATGGTGTTGTAAAACCGAGAATACCGCCAACATCTCCAATTAATGGGATCTATTCAAAGCAGGGAAAACGTCCAGTGGAATACAAGATTGATACAATGTTTAACTGAAGAGATAGCCTGATCTTGCAAAGGTCTGTATCTCGAAGAAATATGTCTGGATGTGTGGTTGATTGAGTGGCCATTCAATCAGTTTCACCACTTTCAGGCCAGGGTGATGTATGTTATCATCACGGATCAGCATATGGTTAAAGTAATATGTCTCCCGTAATTAGAGGTAGCGTCAATCAACGGACATACTGCAAAGTGGATATAGCCCTTAAGACTACCAGATAACATGCTACGTTCACATGGTACGTTCGTTTACCTCAATGTATTGGCTGATTCTATGCAAGCTCGTGTACAGGATTAAGAACCATTCATTTAGCATCTTGTCAACAACACGAACAGTGGCATATGTGAAAACAAAGAATCCTTGTTTGTTCATCAAATGGATCTGTTAGTGATGGTAATGAATAAATTGTTAACATTTTCAAATTTCCGAAATTACATGAAAACTAAAATAGCATGGGTTTTTATAAAAATTAATCATTCACGGGGTCAGTTTTGTTGTTCCTAAACAACCACATCACACACAATTTAATACAATTTGCCCTCCATTAGCAGAAGCAAATGTGCAAATTTGTTGTAGATGGAAGTCAATATGCTACAGTTTTCTTCAGTAATTGACTTGTTATGATAACAGATTAACCTTTCTGGGGGAAGTTTGAATAAGCAGCCTTAAACGTCGTTTAGTACGCGTCCTTCAACCCATGCTATGTTATATTCTTTTATCCACTAGACACAGAAAATTGGACAATATTTCGTATTTAAGGAAGCTATTTGGTTATCAAATATTTGTTTGTATCTGTTAACCTTTGAACGCATATCTTGACCCAATTACTTCAGTATGACAATCCTGGATTGACTTGATTATTTACAGACCACTGTCACATAGCAGGAATGTTGCTTGGAGCGGCGTTTGAAAACGAACCAACAAGCAAACAAACAGAATGATAATTCTGATGACGACATCCGCATATACTGACGGAAAAACAAGGTTTATATTTAAAGTGTAGCTGGAGCCAAACGCAGATCGTACTCCGTTACGAGCTTACTGGGACGACTTTTGGGTGTATCGCGTTTCGAATATTCCAGGAATGACATCTGGCGTTAACGAGCCTCTTATCACTGATATGAAGACTGCATATTACTACAAGTTCATTTGTGTTACAGAGACAGATATAACGGGCTTCAGTTCTCTTTGTCAATCACGGCTCTTGTTTGCTTATTGTGAAGTGGTTGTTGAGAACGTGATCTCCTTCCAGCGTAGTGCGACGTTTGAGAGTGTATGACTCGGTTTATTGTTCAGGAAGTCACGATCTGTCGTGGGCTCTTCAACAATATGGCGTCGGTTCAGGCACCATATATGACTTAAGCTGATAATTATCCATTTGAATCCTCGACTTTAAACTTTTTTACAAGTAACTTCGATATTTTAACATTAAATTAGAATAACTTTGAAGCTTCTTACAATTTCCGAACCGTTATAACTGTCATATGTTCGACTTCATGGCTAGTACATGTATAATTCTATAGTTAATTGTTATAGTTAAAATCAGTAGATTTTGATGTTTATATTTCATATTTAGGGAATGTTATTCACAGAAGAACAGCTGAAATTGGTAAGGCAAAATATTCGTCAATGCACGTATCTCTATCAGAGAAGACAAATGACATTTACACTCAATCTATTTGTTGCAGTTACAAAGGAACAAAGGATGTAAAATGGAAACCAAGAAGTGTAAACTGAATTTTTGCAGGAATTGTGTTCTTCTGCATTAAGGCATATGATGTTTGATGTAATTCTAAAGTCATACAGCGTAACAGCATGTATATAACTTTACAATTTACAGTTATCTTGCCACTTGCAGCTTCAAACACATGACTGAGGGAGTGCGAAATATTAGCTTCAACTCGTGAAGATTCAATGTTGTGTTACCAAGAGTTTTTTCACCCATACAAGAAAAGTTGTATTTTTTTGCCACGTCAGAGTGTGCTTTTAAAATAACACCACAATTGTTTCACTGCCGACGCGCTTCGCAGCAATGCTTCAGCGTGGGTTCTCTACTCAAAATAAAGTCCATCCCAAGGATCTCGTGATAACGAGGTTTTACGGTATCAGTGTCTTGACTTCGCATGTATTCATGGCACATAGATATATAGATACATTACATAATTATACACTCTTACAAAGGTTTATCTATTCCAATGCATTACAATAATGTTTTATATCACATGGCTTAAATGAAGCATAGTGACTCTACTGGCGAGGGTAGATGTTTGTTTTTTACAATGTCCTTATACGTACCTGATGAATCACACTATTTCACTGGCAAGATTCATATATAGAGGCAAAATAGACCCAAAACATTTCACGCCGTTTGCAAAGTTCATTACCAACATAGGTCGGCTATTCTCACTATCACATAGATCTTGTCGTTTGTCTCAGCTAATCGACATCAAAAGAGTGTCATCTGTATCCGAATTTTGTAAATAACGTTAAATACATTATCGGGCAAAAGAAAGCATACAAGTGTTAGCTTGATTTGCCTAAAAGACTACAAACATTATCACATTTTTATAGGCTGAAACAGTCGTCAAAAATACTTGACACTTAAGGTCTCAAACACATCTATGAAATCAAATACAGACCCGTAGAATAACATTTCTTTATGTTTTCATTTTAGACGTAAAATAACATGTGTGTATACTTTCCTCTGCCCGGTAGTTTGCAAGAATCATTTATCTCCGAGGTACCATATGACTCGATCGATATTCAACAGCATATCTTCTTATCCAGATTTTTCAAAGGGCTCTCCTGTCATTAGCGCAACGAGTTGTCATAATTCCACTGCACACCTCTGTCGTGATGTGGGTTTTTGTGTGTAGTCAAAGGACGAATATCCTGTATCCGTGTCTTACACCGTTCGTACATGTGAACCTTCACAGCAACATAGCCTCCTTGATAATGTGGGAAATGAGCTTGAAAAGGTCGGACCATGCTTGCTCAATCTCCGGTGTCCAACTCCCCTTCATGGCAGGTTGTATCGCCCACAGGAACTGAGGGCCAATCAGCTGGAAAAATGAGTTACATAATTAACATAAGCTTGTTATATATCAGCACGCTGAATAGGAAAACAGTCACGACCAAAAAAGCACGATAACAGTCACTCGACAGTTTTCCAACTACATGGCAGCGGTCTGTGATCGAGCAATAACAATCCAGTCTTGTCCAGACAGGCCAGTGATTGATATCATAAGAATCGACCTGAGCAATAGGGACACGATGACACGCATCAGCAAAGTCAGCGAGTTTGACCGTAAGCCGCCTCTTAGGACATTATGGTTGTTGGAAATCAATTCTAACCTGGTATCTTCCATGAAATATGAACGCGAAGATAGGTAATCAATGGTTATATTACTCTTTCAATCATCACTAACGTCAATGTGTCAGTAACTAGATTCCTTAATTGACTTTACTTTTACCCACCTGGCGCTTAGACAAATTTATATTACCTTCACTGACGAGCTGTGCCAGACGTTCATGATTGCCTGGCCCAGTGATTAAAACCTAACTGAAAACTAACTGTGAAACTACGTCTCTCAGCAATACGTCCCTCTGAACTACGATCCTCCAGTTCCTGATCCTTGACATGTCATCACATATATGATCACTTGATTAATACAAGGGGTAAGTGTTTGCGAAGAAAGTCATTTGTTGTGTTTTCTTTTATTCGTTGACATTAATTCCCTCCATGTAACTGTAACACTAGTTTAGATGGCGTTAAAACTAACTCCATCACTCTCACTGATGGACCGTGTTACATTTTACAGGCAAATTGGTATACAAAGATACGTTCCTTTCATGAATTTGAAACCTCAGCTGGCATTTTGAATTGGTTGATTACGACACTGAAGTCACTGGTTAACAAACATAAACACGCTTTCAGCAAGACAGCCAACCATCTCAGAGGTTAATAAATCTAAAGACCGAAAAATGTTTTGATACATGCATCGCAAAGATTCTATAAAGGGTCAGTGATGGTGTTGTAAATCCGAGAATACCGCCAACATCTCCTATTAATGGGATCTATTTAAAGCAGGGAAAAAGTCCAGTGGAATACAAGATTGATACAATGTATAACTGAAGAGATAGCCTGATCTTGCAAAGGTCTGTATCTCGAAGAAATATGTCTGGATGTGTGGTTGATTGAGTGGCCACTCAATCAGTTTCACCACTTTCAGGCCAGGGTGATGTATGTTATCATCACGGATCAGCATATGGTTAAAGTAATCTGTCTCCCGTAATTAGAGGTAGCGTCAATCAACGGGTATATTGTAAAGTGGATATAGCCCTTAAGACAACCAGATAACATGTTATGTTCACATGGTACGTTCGTTTACCTCAATGTATTGGCTGATTCTATGCAAGCTCGCGATCGTATACAGGTTTGATAGGATTAAGAACCATTCATTAAGCATCTTGTCAACAACACGAACAGTGGCATATGTGAAAACAAAGAATCCTTGTTTGTTCATCAAATGGATCTGTTAGTGTTGGTAATGAAATGTTAACATTTTCAAATTTCTGAAATTAAAACAGCTTGGGGTTTTAAAAAATGAATCCTTCGTGGGGTCACACACAGAATTTAAAACCATTTGCCCTCCATTAGCAGAAGCAAATGTGCAAATTTGTTGTAGATAGAGGTCAATATGCAACAGTTTTCTTCAGTAATTGACTGTTATCAGTTATGATAACAGGGGGAATATAGAATTAGCAGCATTAAACGTCGATCACTACGCATCCTTCAACCCATGCTATGTTATATTCTTTTATCCATAAGACATAGCAAACTTGGACAATATTTCGTGTTTACGGAAGCTATTTCGTTATCAAATATTTGTTTGTATGTGTTAACCATTGAACTCATATCTTGACCCAATCACTTATGTATAACACTGCTGGATTGACTCGTGCTCCAGACTTGATTACTTTACGGACCACAGACATATAGCAGGAATATTTCTTGGAGCGGCGTTTCAAAACGAACCAACAAGCAAACAAACAGAATGATAATTCTAATGACGACATCCGGGTACACTGACAGAACAAACAAGGTTTATATATAAACTGCAGCTGGAGCCGAACGCAGATCGTACTCCGTTACGAGCTAACTGACACGACTTTGGGTGCATCGCGTTTCGAATATTCCAGGAATGACATCTGCAATTCACACCAGCGCAATGCTTATCTCTGTCACTCAAATGCCGTCAACGAGCCTCTTATCACTGATATGAAGACTGCATATTAATACAAGTTCATTGTGTTACAGAGACAGATATAACGGGCTTCAGTTCTCGTTGTGAATCACGGCTCTTGTTTGCTTATTGTGAAATGGTTGTTGAGAACGTGATCTCCTTCCATTGTAGTGCGACGTTTGAGAGTGTATGACTCGGTTTATTGTTCAGGAAGTCACGATCTGTCGTGGGCTCTTCAACAATATGGCGTCGGTTCAGGCACACTATATGACTTTAGCTGATACTTATCCATTTTAATCCTCGACTTCAAAGATATTTTTAAAAAAACACCATTTTAACATTAAATCAATTTATAATATCTTTGAAGCTTCTTACAATTTTCGAACCGTTATTACTGTCATATGTTCGACTTAATGGCTAATACATCAATAATTCTATAGTTAATTGTTATAGTTAAAGTCAGTAGATACGTTTTCACATTCGCAAGGACATACATACTCACCTATTCAAATTCTGGTATCATGTATATCTGGGAGGGACATTATGGTATTTTTTTCGGCACTCAGCAATATGTCAAGGGAACCTGTAATAATCGAGCCTGGACCGACAAACAAGTGACCGCGAACATGGTTAAGTCGGGATACAATGACACACATTTAAGCAAGTCACCCAAACCAGATTCAATACGTTGATATGAAGATGTGAACGTATTTGGGAACATTGTTTAAGAGTTTTTATTGACAGTCGATTGAAACAACTGCTGTTTTTAAAGGATATGTTTTCTGATAACTTCAGATGAAGGTTTCAGAGTGAGTGAGTTTAGTTTTACACCGCATTTAGCCATATTCCAACAATATCACCAGAAATGGGCTTCGCACATCTACCCATATGAGCAATCGAACCCAGGTCTTCGAGCGAACGCTTTAACCACTTGGCTACCCCATCGCCCCTGTAGGCTTCAGATGTGTGTGTTCATTCCAAGGTGTTACAGTATGTCTATGTATCTGTGAATACGATTCCGATTATTTGAAAAGTTTTGCATGAATTATTATGCAAATGAACAATTTTTGGATTAACGAATCAACATTAACACCCATTATAATCAAATAACGTCATACCAGAAACACCCGGGGTATTGACACTCCGTTCTTACGAGGTTTCACAGTATCACTATAGTTCGGCATGAAATGCATGTGGACCCGGTTTTTGTAAATATCTCTTCATCCAATGACCCAATCGATCTCAAACTGTGCAAGTGGATGTTTTGTCAGACAACCTAATCACATTGTAAATCACCGATTTTATGCATTTGTATTAAAGAATCTGTCTATGTAACTGTCAACAAAATAAACAGCAGACCGCAGACTGCTTGCAGAGGGAGGGAGCCAATGACCTGTAACAGCGGCAGTGTTGGGTCATAAAGGTAAATGCACGTGCAGTTCATGATAGTTACCTGTGCACTGCACAGTGATAGACCGTTTGGATCATTCACATTGACTACTTCTAGCTGTCATCATGAAAGCTTATGCAGATGATGCTAAACGTTTAATTAGAAATGTGTTGAATTTTTTAAAAAAAGAGAGCAAACGTAGCAAACCAATTTATAAGGTGTCGGATTACATGAAACGTACATAGCTGACCTACATTGACGAACGTTGACCTTTATGACCCAACACTGCCGCTGTTACAGGTCATTGGCTCCCTCCCTCTGCAAGCAGTCTGCGGTCTGCTGTTTATTTTGTTGACAGTTACATAGACAGATTCTTTAATACAAATGCATAAAATCGGTGATTTACAATGTGATTAGGTTGTCTGACAAAACATCCACTTGCACAGTTTGAGATCGATTGGGTCATTGGATGAAGAGATATTTACAAAAAACCGGGTCCACATGCATTTCATGCCAAACTATAACTGCCTTGAACATGTTGCCAGCTGATGCAGTAAAGGTTTGTTGTTGGTGTTTTTAATTTTCTTTTCATTCTTTTGTTTTCTTCGGTTTCGACAAAAACGAAAGTAATCTGATCAAACATAAAACACACAGATATGTAAAAACAGACAGAGCCAAGACGATAAAGGAGACTGGTTTGTATATACGTCGCCTATTCCATGACATTGTAATTGTATTTATGGAGGTGGATCACATGAATACACAACCAAGTATCTATAAATGTATAAACTATTTCAAGAAGCAAGATTTTACGACATTTATTATTATCAATGTATACTCAATGTCTGGGAAATGTCTATTAGTTTAAAAAATAGCAACGTATTTTTGTAATTCTGCTGCCATTCTGAATGTTTTATCGCATTCTCATTACTTGGAATAACGCCTTTTTTAAGACATGACGTAATGATCATGAATCAGTGGCCTGAAACGGCACGTGCGGTTAAGCTATCTACCTGACAGACCTGGGCCATTACTCATAAGTCAGAATCTTTTCATTCAACGATAAAGGCTTGAAATGGTATGAAATAAGCCTTCTCGTAGTTCGCTTGTTTGTGGTTAACTTTCATCTTAATTAAAACATAGTCATTGTTTCCTTGTATCATAATTAAACGTGTATGGTAATATATAGTTATATCAGCAATGTATATAATGTGCGATCCGTTTCAGTACTTTGAACCATTGAAACATCTGCATTCCGTTTACATTCTAATTCGAAGCAATAAAAATAATTCTAAACGGGATAATAATAATAATGAGAAGAAGAAGAAGAGGAATAATAATAAGAAGAAGAAAAAACTGTTATGGTAAGTAGTGTTGGATGTTCAGTGACAAGCTGCTCAGAAAGGAGGTTAAAAAACTTTGATCA